TTCCGAGATCAGAGGAATAAGGCTCGATTTTTTTTTACTGCGTTGAGCATTTTGATACCTACGTATAGCTTGCAGGGCTCTGAGCGTGGGGACTGGCTATACTTGCGGGTAGCTTGTCAGGCTCGCCATAGTGGACATTGAGCTCATTTGTTGGAGGCGACTCCTTGCCGCTTCCCATATACTTCTCTGTCACTTGATTTCAGGCTTTTGGCCGAATTGACTTTGTAGAATAGAATCCGCACAAGCGAGAACGCACCCACACACACACACACATGTATGAACACGTCTAGCACATACAGAAAGTATGTGCCAAATTGGCGCAGCAGAAACGGGAGTCCATCTCCTGGATCGCAGCAAGGTTTGCTTTTGGTCCGCGATTAACCCCCCAACCGCCACATGGGGACGCGCCTCGTAGCCTCGCGACCAACCGGCTCGAGATCCCTTATATGACGGAGGTCCGTGGTAGTGTATTTCTATGAATGAACAATGAGACAATGAATAGAAGTAAATACAGCGGTCAAAGGCAGAACCTGGTGTGTAATTGTGTCCGACATTTTTCTCAAAATAGTGACTTCTTGCGAAAACTGTGATTCTCCCTCTTCGAATCAGCAGAACATTCAGAACTACCATTCACAAGAGCTAAAGTGCCGCTTTGGAAAAAGACAACAGAGGCTTGATGAAGTTTGTGGTATTTATTCCTGATATTCGATGCTTAACTAACAGGATTAAAGATGATACTTATGATTCTTTCATTATTGGAATTATGTACATCACATCATTGGATTTTTCTATTTAACACTATTTCGTGAAAAAACCGAGCGTGAACTACGGTGTACTATTGACTCGGATCATCGGCTCTGTTAAAGACTAAGACGTCGTGGCGTTAGCGGAATAAAACTACTTCATCAACCTCGTGTAGGCTCAATAGTTTAAACAAACGCTGATTATTCTAGGTTAAATGATGGTCAGTTTCGAAGTTACTGAACTTGAAGAGACTGGAATTTTCGAAAAATTCGTGATGGTATATTTTAGTGTTTTAAACACTTTGAATCACGTCTACCTTCTCCTTCTACTTTTTTCTCATAGTATTCTTTTTATCCATTCTCGTTTTCACTCTAGCCTGCCCCCTCTAAATTTATCGAGGAATGATCCAATATCTATTGACAAAAACAATTTATAATTAAGTCACCAATTTGTCATACCACCACTTTCTTCTAGGAAAAAAAATGGGAAATTCTAAATCTTACCTGGTACTATTAACATAGCACTGAGAACAATACTCGATGGTAGAAGTATGTCGCCTCGAAATCCTAGTATCAAAAGAACTAAAACCAAAAAATTAAAAGAAGAAAGCAAGTTTTTATTACATTTACTAAAGGTGAGATGAAGCACATAACGCGATTTTATCGCCAAGAAACTTGGTTTTCGTGAAGTTCTTTGTTACTTTTCCTTAATTGCTGTAATAATAGAAACACTAATCTAATGAAAAACGTATGCATGATGACGTAGTTGGTTAAATTTAAGTAATTTGATACACTGGCCTTGGATTTCGCACATTTTCAGGCTACGTAACATGCATTTAACTCAATACGTTTGGCGCAAATTGGGTCCCGTCAATGCTTTTCTCAGAGCGAAGGCGTTTTAGTAGCCTCTTCATTAACAAGAGTCTCCCTGTTGATTTTCCCACATAGTGCAAAATCCAACATTTCGGTGCAAGAGATGGTGGGAAGAATTTTAGCGCGAAAAGAAGAAACGTCGCTCACCTTTAACTTTAACAAGAACGAAATGTACAACTCAATATATTCACTTACCAGTTGATATGATCAATGACATGGCGATAAATGTACACTGCCAAATAAAATGTGGCAATAATAATAATGGAGATGACGTTCTTGTACCCAAATAGAGCAGAAGTGCCGTCAGTGTACATGAGACACACACTGAAACTCAATCTCAGTCAAAAACTCATCGCCAACTAGGAAAAACTGTTTAGGCTACAAATGCATTCGACAGGTTAGCGATTGTAGTTCATCACTTGATAAAAAGTATCTAGAAGAAACTCTTTGCTCAGTTTAACGTTGTTCTATTGTCGATGTTTTTATTTCATCGTCAAACTTATTCATTATTATTTACCTTATTATATGACCGGATGTAATATGTATCATATTGCGCGGATCTCTGCAGTTCCTCTATTCGGCTCGCTTCCTCCTATCCACCAACCTTGAAGATTTTACAACCTTTTTCATGTGGCTTCAGATGCTTTTTGAGGACTTCTTTGCCTTCATCATGCCGTTGAATGCTGTTTGAGTCGACTCTCCCTACAGTTCTGAGGTAGCTGTGCTGGGAATTATCACGTGGGTTAGAGGGAGCTAACTGGTCTTAGGCCAGTTTGCTCCAAATTTTCCGAGCTCAGGGAATAAAAGGCTTGATGCGCCCTTGAGAGATCGAATTAGCACTTAAGAAGGGTGAAATTTTTTTCTTAAATGGAACCCTTTATTGGTTGACAACATCCCAAATCTATGGAGAATCTAGTAGAATCGAGAGAAGCCGATCAATAAGGTGATAATTTCATCACCGGATGAAGAGTATAACGTCCACAAAATTTTTTTCGATTTCATTTTATTTGATCCGTCTTCACGTCTACTGTGCGGTTCTCAGCGCTCATCACAATCGATTCGTTTCCCGCATGCATTGTCAACGAAGATCTTCCGACTTTTACGTGTGGTTTTGGTTGCTGCTTGACGATTTCCATTTCATCTTAAATGTTGCAGAATGCTGGTTGAGCAATTCTCCGTGGAGTCCTAAGATATCTGGGCTGGTGTACTCTCATTTGGATTATAGAGAGTGCCTTTTCCCAAATAAGACCACTGCCAATTTTCCGACCCCGGAGGTATGAGAGGCTTCGTTGAGCCGGGGAGGAATCGAAGTAGCACCATGCTCGTGATAACGGACATCACTGGGCTATCCGTCTCTTCGTTCTCAGAATTTGTGCAAGTAAAATAAAACATTATAATTAAAAAGTAGACCTACCATATTCGTTTGCCGAGAACGTTATATCAATAACCATTTTTTTTATTTTTTAATCACTGCCGACTTTCTTAGTGTTGAAAGCCACAATTTTTACATACTTATACCGACCCTAATGGCATTCCTCTTTCAAAGGGAAAAAATCGCAGACTAGTGGAGGACTCGTATACGGCCATTGTGCTCAAACAAGGTCACCGAAGGGATCTTTGTAACCATCGCCCGATATGCTTGTTGAGTATACTCTACACGTTCTTAACGAAAGTTATCCTAATACGCACACTGAAGACCGGATGAGGCGCAACCAGTCCAGCCAGCAGGATTTTGACAGATTTTCCTTCATGGACTACACCAAAAGTGTGACATCGGTCATAGGATTTTGTCGCAAACACCACCTGCCACTAGTCCTGGCACTTGTTAACTATGTGGACTTTGCATTTGGTAGTGTCGAAACGAATGCAATCGTATCAGCTCTCGTCGAAAAACGCATGGACCCGTCCCACATACAAACTCGTGGAGCAAGGAAACGAATGAAAAATGGGCTTGGATTCGCACAAGTCGTGAAGACGAGCCATCCGAGTAGTCACATAGGTAAATAATCAGTTCTCTTACTGTGTAAGTAGTCAATATGTTTCCCATTTGTTATTTTGATTTCATGGTGATTTTCTAAAGAAAGCATACAATTTCACCATTTCACCTATTCATATTCCGTTATTAGCATTTTTTAAAAGTTAATCTGAAAGTTTTCAAAAAAAACTTTAAACGCTGTTGCTTTGCGTTTTCCCTTCAAGATAAGGAACGTTTTAGGAATTCTGATTGAAAACCACTTCAAGAAGAAAAAAAAGAACACGGCTAGAGAATTACGTAAAGTGAAAAATATAGTGCAACTCTTAAGCAATAGAAACACTACTTATGAACACAAACAAAGACATTAAAACGATCAGCATTGATCAATCCCTTAGTGGTGCTACATCACATCTGTTCTACATGATTAGCTCAATATGCGCTCCAACCTAAAACGCGCTGTGTATGGCAGTGCTGTTCTAATCACAACGCTACGCACGCCTCCTCACATTCTTTTTTGCACGAATCGACATCAAAATTTTCGGAGTCCACATTTCTTGCATATTTCATTCGTCTGCTTGCACCCACCATTTGCGAAGGTTTTCGGATTTGCATGTGGCTTCGACTGCTTGATGATATTGGCCTTCTTAATGGAAGATGAATCTGCTGGTAGAATTGAATTTTCGTGTTCTCGGTTTTTCATCACGCTTAGTTGTAAGCTTTTGTGGATTGCAAAGGGCTATGCAATCCAACACAAGTTTCATACAAATTTCCCGACCTCCAGATGAATTCACCCATTGGTTCTCTTGGCGCAGTGTCGAACAGTGGCTTCCCGTGTACTGAACTGAATCACTACCCACTATCTGCTCCTCATCTATTTGTATAACAAATAAAAGTAGAAAAGTGACTTACTTATAACATGAATAGCGAAAAGCGTTTCACCACCACCCTTAAATAGACCTAAGAAATAGAAATATCTGCCGTTCATGGCGAGTAGATCAGGTGCCTGCACAAGAAGTACCATCGAGAAAAAGGCCTAAAATGTTACAAATATAAGCACAAAACGACTGAACACAAATATTCGAACATTGAGTTTTTCTCTGACGATTACATCAAGGTATAATATTCTATGCAGTAGAAAAGTTCTGCTCAATTATCTCATTTATTCATTATTCACTTGTTTCTTGTTTATTTTTTCTACTTACTTTAGTTGGTTACTTGGATACATGGATGGCCCGTCTTTATTGGTTGCACGAGACCCACCGTAATTTCTAATTCTCCGGAGTCTTGCTGGTTTAGCCATTCTGGTTCCCTGAAGTCTCGAGGTCAGCCTAGCCAAAGTCTGCCCCAGGTCGTCACCACGTCAACCAGCCGCCGCCCTTTTGGATCAGAGAGAGATTTGCCACCGTGCGATTAGTTTGATACCAGGACGGTGGTGGATCCTAGCTCAGCTTGGGAATCCTTGCCAGGGGGAAGAATCCTCACCACACTCCTCTCCATTTTGTACATGGTAGCCCGACACCCAGGAACACCTTCCAGCCACTATGAGACAGTTAAACTTTTAGGAAATTTTACTTACCTATAATTCCTCATTCATTAATCAATTATTTATTTACAATTTCATTTCTTTTGTTTATTTACTTTAAAACGGTTATACGAAATAAACAATCTTTAACATTCAACGACAGAGAAAAGAAAAAAAGAGACCTCAATGCAGCAGATCAAATGCACTGACAACGACAACGACAACAACCCACACAGGCACATTTCCTGAAACTAACGATTGGCTTAGTTCTTTTATCTGGACAATGATGTCGGCAGGATTCATAGGATTTTTCTCAGCCCGAATCAAAATTTATTGCTAAAATTAGATGTGATTAGACTTCCAAATAATTTTCACAGTAATGTAAGTTTCATTGACCCATCCCGAGTAATATCCTGAAACACTAGCACCCAAGAGACTTTTTCTGTGTTTTTTTAAAAACTCATCGTTGTAAAAATATGTTGCAAATATAAATGGAGTGTATACATCAGTCATCTCATGAGTGATCGAAGTTGAAATCCAGATTTCAATATTTCTATCCCGAAGTCCTCGGTTATGAGAAAACCTGTGTTTTGGCAGAGCCCGAAGAGCTATCCTTCACTTCTTCCTCACCAAAAAAGGAAACAAAAGGTGTCAAATCAAAAGTATGTTTTCATCTGAATTCCTCGAGTTCGTAGTGGCCAATGGAGAGCTCTGGCTTGAAATAGTGACCAAATTTGTTGAAGAATACCGATGCAAACCAAAAATCTTTTATATTATCAACTTCCATTTTCTAACGTTAAGCTGGATATTTCGAGCATCTGTAAATTGAATTGTCGCCGAAAAAAAAGGTAAGCAATTATATAGTTGATGTCTCCCTTATTCATGAATGCTGGCCAATCTATTTATTGCTTTGTAGTTGAAATAAAACTTCTATCTTCAATTGAATCGCGCGATTTAAGTGAAGAAGAAATTCCAGCGATAACCGAGGATAAAGTTAAAGAAAATATTTTTTTTCTTAGTTAAAACAACAATAATAAAAATGGAAAGTAAAATTTTTTAATTCGATTTGACCGATGTTATTTCAGCGGGATAAAAGCGAAAAAACAACTAGGGCTGTGAAGTGTAAGAACAGAAGAAAAGAAAAAGGATATAAAGAAGGTATAAACTTGTTTCAATTCTTTTTTTAACACACTTCTAAAATAGGGAAAAAGCCAAAGACCCTTCAGTAACGGTAACTTGTACGCAACTGACATATCGTGACATACAACTGACACACTGACACATATATACCACAACTCCAGGATCTCTGCAAAACCATACCAACCAGCTGTCGAGAAAATGGTTATCCGTGAATGAAAGCTGGAGATACTGATGCAGAAAAAAGTCTAGTGGAAAAGCTTCTGAATTGTTCATTAAAAAACGCCCATTTAAGTCAATTAACGTGAAAACGTGGAAAATGTGGAGGGAGCTGATGAAGTTCCGGAGCGTTGACCAATCAATGCGAATCCAATGCACATGCAGGTGAACTGCTACAGGTTTAAATACGAGTTAGAAGTGATGAAAAATATCTTTAGTGCAGAATATTGGAGTGGGTAGCAAGTCTTTGATAAAGTGGCACGAGATTGTTCATATGGCACATAACGTTTCAGCGGAGTTCGCCTTTTACGGAGTCTCGAAAGGGTTACACTCAACTGGCTACTACAATTTCACAGTCGGAACCGCACACTTAACAGCTTATATAGAAGACGTATCACTTTTTTTGTATGCCGTTTAGTTACTAAGAAAACTTGAAAAGGTAAAGAAGAACGCGTTCGGTGATGACCAATCTACTAGTAATGCGCCATGCATTCGAGACTAATCGTAGCATCTTAGAGGGGGATGAATGCATATTTGAACTATACGATGACCTGTAGAAACCAATCGATCTATAAACTCAGGAAATTACTGTTTTCTTTGATGAGCTTGAATAGTAGATTGAATAGTAGGTTGCTACTATGGTATTTGTAAACACATAGCAGCTGACCTAATATTATAAACAACCTCATATTTGCAAGACTCTGGACCGCAGGTGTCTATGGTGGGGAACGAACACGCTATTGTCCTTTCCGGGGAGTAACGTGTTCACCACCACACCATGCGGGTTCTTTGTTTCGGTTGTCTCTCAGCTATGACCCGCATGGTGTGGTGGTGAACACGTTACTCCCCGGAAAGGACAATAGCGCGTTCTTCATCAACAAAGACACCTGCGGTCCAGAGTTTTGCAAACATCTCAGCAACGTTGTGGTTGCATTTCTCTTAGTACCCTACCGTGAAAATTGTAGTGGGAAGAAAATGAAAGGTAAACCATTGTGATTGCAACTACAGCCTCAGCTTAACTGGGTTCATTGCCGATATGGGCTTCCCAGATCAATCCCGTTGACGGGTGATTGCTGATGGGGCTGATCGATTGAACTAGATGACAGATAGGCGAAACGAAGGACCCGTATGGTGTGGTGGTGAATGCGTTATTCCCCGGAAAGGACAATAGCGCGTTCGTTCTCCACCAAAGACACCTGCGGTCCGAAGTTTTGCAAACATCTCAGCAACGTTGTGGTCGTATTTCGCTTTGTACCCTTCCGTGAAAATTGTAGTGAGCAGAAAATAAGTGGTAAAACCTCATATTTGTCCATCAAAGAAAACGGCGAATTATTGATCAATGCCGAAGTTAAGAGTGAGTTGGTCATAGGATTTGCTATAACCTCAACGTTTTTATCCTTCCAGACAAGTCTAACGCCAATTTGTTGACTCCGGAGGAATGGAGCTTAGTCAACCTGGGACGTCGGATCGAACCAACAACCGTATGTATATTTCAGGGCACCTCTGCTCACTCGGATAGGCACGCTCTTGGATACTGTAAAATATTTTGGAGCTGGGAATAAAGGTAGAAGGTCATTGATACAAATGCTCTATAAATGGCTAGCAGGTGCTGTGAAAAAAGGGTAAAAGAATAGAAGAAAATGAAGTGAACTCAATATTTCGAATGAATAAACTCAAAGCGCATCAGTAAAAGCGCAAACGTCAGTTTGTGAAGAACGTTTTGTAGGGCAGTGAACTAAACGTGCAGCGGATTGCACTTTGCACTTGCCGCATGGTTTTAACACCAACATCATCGGTGTCGAAATTGAAAATCCTATTTTGGTGATTGTCATTTGAGCTGATTTCAAACCACAAACTACCCATTGATGTGTTGGCAAAAAGATCTTTATATTACCGAGCCAGTAACTAAATAAGATAAAAGCGTTTATTTACAATGAGATAGCCCATGTGTGAAAGGACTACCGCCAGAATTTTATTGCATCGTTATGATTTATGCGTGTTCCTGGGTAGTAAATGTGATTCACAGCCATCCAGGATTCATACTCTTCTTTTTAGAAGAGTCATGCAAGCTAAAGAGGAGGTCGACATTCACGTTAAGGTCTAAATGTGAATAAAAAACACAAAGAACAATCGCTGTTGTCGGATATCGTAAGGTCGTAAAACTTTTTTGTTTTAGCTAATGATCGCTTCTGATAGCCATCTGGAACGCCCTGGTGTGGCTGTGTCGGAGGCCAAGGAAGAATGTGTTTCCAATCTAGTAAAATATTGTTGGCTATATCAAGACTTGGAAACGAATCATTTAAATGCCAGCAAAGTACTATGCACACATCAGAAACACCCGATTGTAAACCATTGCGACTATTTCATCTGTGAAAAGCAAAGTGGTTAGAGAGACTGCGTTACACAGATAAAATGGCTGGTTCAACACAAAATGAGTCAACCAAGTTGCACATACGACCGAAGTCGGCGAATTGGTGAGGAAATTTTCCCAGAAAATCTCATTAGAAAGGACCTCCTGTAGTGTAGGCCTGAGAACGTTCTAGAACCGCTTTCCCAGAATTCTGGAAAGAATTGACTTAGCAAGCATTCAGTGGCATTCGTGAAGAAGAGAAAGTCCTTGAGCAGTCGACGAAGGAAAATGAAAATTCGGACACATCTGTGAATGAGACGATGAACAGAATCAAAAAGTGGTGAGCTTAGGCCAATATCATACAGATGGTGTCTTATAGATTAACAAGACTGGTCGTGTGAACGAGGAAGTGAAAACTCTGACTTCATAATTCACCTTCGAAAAACGAAATTCCTTTATACTCGAAATAAAATTAATCAATCCTAAACAAGTTCCTGAATTTTATATTGGCATGATCATTGGTTTTGATCTTAAGAAAAAAGATTTCTTATACCAAATCAGATTAATAAAACGAGGCTTACCCTATTCATGTAACACGTCGGACTTTAATCGATGCGGGATGGGTAAGATGAAAAAACTACAGAAAACAAAAATAGTTCCTTTAAAGTTCTAGCGGATACTAAAATGAAAAGCGAAGATTTTTTTAAGAAAAAATAAGAGAGAAAAACAAAAGAGTCAAAGGATAACAAAACCAACTCTCACTAGCATTATAAATCTTTCTCTCCTGTTTTGATCTATCGCGTCACTGGTAAATAGTACAAGAATGTAAAAAAAGCCAGTCTTTGAAAAAAAGAAAGATAAGAAAGGATAAAGCTCTCGGCGTTCATCAATCCCTAAGGGATGCACCACACATTCGACTTCATTAAGTATCGCTGGAGGTGATTGAATGCATATTTGGCCTTTACAATGACTCGCAGTGGCCTACTGATGTATCGACCCAATACTCCTATCCTCCCAGACAAGTCTGGTATCAATTTGCCGACCACGGAGGAATGGAAGGCTTTGTGGAGCG